GTGTGTCTGTGTGTGTGTCTGTGTGTGTGTGCGTGTGTGTGTGTGTGTGTAAATGTACTCTCCATGCGTTTACAATAATGTATCAACGATATGATGCACCGTCCTTGTTTATGTCATCCTTATGTAACGAGTGAAACAAGCGTACTCGTAGTCGAAAATGTACGCTATATGGGTCATACTGTCGCCAATATAGTTTTGAGGGCAATACATGTGGAATGGTCAATGAGAATCTTGCATGTATATGTGCGAACAACAGTGCAAATAATAACTCAAACCCTGTTGGCCTTAGTACCGTATGTTTGGAGGCAATTATGCTCGTTCGCATCAGGCATCAGTTCATACAACTTCAATGAACCACGAAATTTCGTGATAATGGGTAGACAGCAACAATGAATATAAACCTAAACCCTTGAAAATATGACCTTACATTAACAATTTATACATTCATTGCCACCCTGGTAACCATTGCCAAACAATTCATACATTCATTGCCCAATTTATACATTCATTGCCATAAAACCAAATACTGACAGCAACTGTATCTATAGAATAGTATCCCATTGCAATTATTCATACGGTCTGGTACTACATATCTATCCTTGGACAATATAGCCACATTGCTACACTCAATCACACATATACAAATGAGGAGATCAATGACCGTGTGCCCTACCACGGAAGGAACAAAAATCGAAACACAACTGAGACTTTTAGCATTAACAAAATCAAGAAAAATACATTTGGGATGTAAATTTGACCTCGTGTAGACTCAGGACGCACTAACATAAGCAGAAATCTCGCGTGATTCTACTAAGCAGTATATACCGTTTTCCACTAGAAACAAAGTCAATGCTTAATTCAAGCACGCTCAACATAGGTATTCAACAAACAAGGTGTACAAAACAACAGACACTGACACGCCGGTTGGTTCGCTATAAATTATAGGTAATAAATTACAATGGTTTGACAGTGATGATAAAATAGCCTATTGCGGCGTATCATGACGATATGTTGGACGACTCGGGAGAAAAAGGCACAAGTTCGGCAAGTTTGAGATTCTAGTTATTAATGTTTATTTCATTAATTCTAATTCTATTTATAGCCTAGAGTTTACGCTATTCTACCTACCTACCCTACCGGCGTATCGTGTAACGTGCGCGCAGTACAGTGTGTACGATCCAGCACAGCACAATTTACAACCCATCCACCCACAACTATAAATAGATTTCTAACATCTATTAAAAGAAGAGTTTACGCTATTCTACCTACTTACCCCACCAGCGTATCCTGTAACGTGCGCGCAGTACAGTGTGTACGATCCAGCACAGCACCATTTACAACCCATCCACCCACGACTATAAATAGATTTCTAACATCTATTAATAGATTTAATACCTCTTGGCAGTAGCGCCCTGGCTTTCCACAGCCTTGGCGAATGACTCGCCGTCTAACCCATTGGCCACCAATGCCTCCAACTCATCTACAGTCAGCTTTGAACACAGCAGTTCCATGTGAGACATGCGCTCCTCCGTCTCGTCCAGACTGGTTCCCTCGGGCATATAGTAGTTGTTCTCCTGCGACGACGAAGATTAGATTTCAGATTAGGACGGTGTATACGTGGATAGAGAGTCAATACTCTCGATTATCTGCCAAGAAGCGAAATTCCGCCGGGAAAAACTGACACAGCAAAGCTGTACGTAGACTACAAAAGAGCGAGCACCTATGTATATATGTATACGCTTACTTATGATATGGCCAACCGATAACAGGGTAGCTCAGATATGCATCTAAAATTTTCAGTTATAAAACTGAGAAACCACAGCAAAAGTTGTTCTTCATTGCCTCCGTATCGACGCGTAAACAACATAGAAAATCCTCACATCACTAGGAAGAGATAGGATAGTCCGAACACAGAAGAAAGTGGTGCTACCTGTATCGTGACCTTCCTGGAACCGCCACTACACCGGATGAGATCGTAGCCCCAAGAGGAACACAATTAAAAACATATTTATATATATATAGACACTCTCGCGCTTTTGGGGCAACAACCCGTTCCAGAATAGTTGAAGATGCAACTAAAACGTGGCAGGTGGATGCGACACCACGCTCACCGCCCAACTATTGCGCTGTTGAACCAAATAGAACACTCGCCTATATACACTGGTACATACAAATATAAAGACATTATTGGCATCGCCAGATACTTTTTTTTCCACAGGTAGTTGCATAGACAAGCATTGCAACAAATAAATCGTGATACTAGAACGCACCTTGCACGCTTTCCTCACGGCCTGACGGGCCTTCTTAATCTTGTTCTTGGCGGCTTCCTTAGATTTCTTCTTGTCGCCAGCGGCAGACTTGGCAGCCTCCGCTTCTTTAGCCGCTTGTATATCGGCAGCCTCCTTCGCGATACGCGCTTCCTCCTTCTCCTTGGCTAGTTGAGCAGCCTTGGCATTGGCACCCCTGGTTTTATGGAAACCGGTATGGGCGTATAATATGAGTACATAATCATATATTTACAAGTGAATTGTGCGGATGAACATCACGAGTACGGTGGAATATCCCATGTTGGGAAGAAGATAATATTAATAATAGAACGCTTTAAGCTTATTCTACACATACAGAAATCCCAAGATATCTGCTGTCTGTAAACACAAAACCACCAGCTGCGCCAATCATACACAAGTCCAAACATACATATAATATATATATCACACAAACACTTGTTCGTCTCAGTACGTCCAAACATATATCCAACGCACATACTTGTTCTTCTCAGCCTTCTCCTTGGCCTTGATCTCCGCCAGGCGCGGGTCACTGTGGAAGATGGCGTCCACCAGCTTGGTCATGCGCTGGTTGTCCTCCTTCTTAGCCTTTTTTCGGGCGGCTACGTTCTTCTTATCTCTGTAGCGTCTCTCATCTCGACTGATATCGGCCGATGACACATCCTCCTTATCGTTCCAGCTGAACTCGCGCCAGCTATCAAAGTCGTACCAGAAGTTATAGAACGCCTCCACCTCCGCGCGAGTGGCCTCCACTAGGCCTAGACCGGGAACCGGTTGTTTCTGTACCATAAGTATAACACAAAAGATAAGGTTGCATGAGAAATCGACACCCGTTTCAGGAACGATCAGGCTGGGAGTGCTGACTAAAAAAGCTTCGTATTTTAGTGGCGTGCTGAAAATACATGCAGAGCTTGCGGTGCGGGGATGTTTGCACGCATTGCTATATAATACCGAACTTCTTCCAAGTGTAACAGTTCCACATAGGTACTACACATTGTAAGGTGAAGAACTGTACGACGGAAGCTCGCAAACAAATACGTATAGACTTCAGCTGGACAGCTCATATATACATTCTAATGTTATCAGTTATGAAACTGAGAAACCACAGCAAAAGTTGTTAATCATCGCCCGTCCAGACCAGTACATATGGCGCCAGCACAATCTATTTACACAACAGGGTACACACGTCCAGATCCATTCGATGCACCGTGTACAGCTAGATATTCAGGCGTACAAGCAAGGCAGAGACGCATCACAAATTTACACCAATGAATCCCCTAAGAAGGTTCTGGTGGTATCTGAGTGTCCCTTCGACTACATCCACCTCTTACATAGACACGTGAATATACATGGTCTGCAACTCTACTTCATACATAAGCGACACGCATACATACATGAATACATACCGTTGAGAATCGGGAGTTGTCCTCCACCACCTTCGAGTATCGCTTAATAAACTCTTTGGCGCTCAGACCCTTCTTCTGCGCGGGGAAACTATCGTCAAAGGTTGGGTCCACACTATCCCACGCACGCCTGCGCGCCGGTGCAGTGAGCGTATCGTACGCCAGCTTGATACCCTTGAAGATCGCGTCATCGTCCATTCCGTTGGTCAAGCGTGCCTTCTTATCGGGGTGGTGAGCGAGGCAGGCCTTGCGGTATGCCTGTTTGATCTGCTCGTCATTGGCCTTGTAACGCAGACGGCCCAGACCGAGGATCTTGTACTGATCGTTCTCCTGTGGGACGGAGTTGAGAGTTGTATGTGTGGGTGAGATTTGATGGGGGATGTGGGGTGTGTGCAGCTATATGAAATTGTATACGTATTTCGCTGAATGGGCACGTAAGAGATGCCTGTATGCGCGGTTGGAAGTATCGGCTATAATCGTAGACTACTGCTTGTAACAAGACCGGATACAATGCACTCGTCGTTCACCAGTCAATACCAAATATGGGATATATACACAGGTATGCTGGTACGAGCATATGCCACGAGTTTGGCCGAAGACAATTAAAAGAACGACGAAAAAGCAGGGTAGCTCAGAAAAAGCATCTAAAATTGTCAGTTATATAACTGAGAAACCACAGCAAAAATTAATCATCATTGCCCCCTGTCCTTTTATTCTGAGCTATACATTTCCATTTCCATTTACATCTACATTTATGTGTATATATATATATATATTAATATAGAAATAATGTATCTATATGCCTTCATCGAAAGAAAATGATTCATACAACAAACCGCACACGCACATCAGACATACTACTGAAACACATGTATAGACATCAATATCATAGGTACTTCCGAATGGTCTGTACTGTCTTAGAAATTCCCACCCCACTAGATCGACAGAGATATATAAATTAAATATATCAAAAAATATATGTATATATAGTATAGAAATATCGTTGCATGCTGCGAATATATATAGACACATACCTTCCAGTCCGCCGGGTCAATGCCCTTGAAATCGTTACCATCCACATCATCAATCATCTCATCTTCACCCTCACTTTCTGCACCCAACTCAGCCTCGGCCAAATGCGCCGCTAGCGCTTCCTCTTCGTCCTGAGACAGTGTGCGACCACGGCGTCTACGGTTGGCATACGCCTCATACCATCGACCAGCGGGTTCGATAGTGGCATCCTTACACTCTGACGACAAGAGAGGTGCAAATATAATGAATTAGTTATACATCACCCGTAGTAATATAAATACGAGCAAAAGCTAATAAATTATTAAGACACAATGTACGCCGATCGATTTACATTCCCGGTATAAATACAGTCAATCGAAAAGTCTCCTGGACAGCTCTCATTTGCAATGTCAAATCAGCTATAGAACTGAGAATTCTCAACAAAATCAATTAACCATAGGCCGACCAGGGACTGAATACCCTGGAAGAAACTATGTACATATGTACATTTGGAAAT